GTATTCTGTAGGTTAGCCGCGAAAAAGTAGCTCCCTAACGGAAATTAGTATTTTTTGTTAAATTGTACCGTAAAATTGACAATCAAAGGACTTTGCCGTTCACGGTTTCCTCTGTAGATCGATCCATCAAAAATAAGCGTAAAGTGATGAACGTTCTAGATGTATCTATTGTTTGATCCTAAAGTAAATTATTTACCTTGAAATAAACCTAAAAAATATTGTACAGAAACCCGTTCCTATGACTAACTTGAAACCTATTTACTAATCATTAACATCATTGAGCATTGAGTTGTGTTTTGCTATTTTGACTGCCTCATTTATTCAGATTATGCTTGACCCTTATTGCTTGTTTCCTAACGAGGCAGAGACTCAACTTCTGTATTGCCTGCTCGTGTTCTCAAATTTACAAGAACTTATCGACCTCGTTATGTTTAGGTCTCGGTTCCGTGGCTATAATTTGTTTACATTACTCGATTTTAAATGAATTGAATCTTTGTCCTCTGATTCTACGTTCTAATATGAAAGAGAAGAGTTTTTGCCGAGTTGATTGAGATCGTCTTTCAATGCGTGGGAAGCAAAGAATCTGATTGGTGGTCAGAAATACGTTGATGTCATGACAATTTTAAAGCATGTTACCTAAAGATCGCTGCAGTCACGAAATTTGCGGTCATTTCGCATTAACATTAAATTTGAACTTGTTTTTGAATCCCAAACTTTTGTGTCAACTACTGAAAAAATCGCTCGGCTTATAGGTGAAGAAATACGGTAGATATCTGATTGAAAACCTTCATCGATCGCGATGTTCGCCCATACGTTGTAACTCTGGATTTTTGGGCATGTGACCTTCTCAAGACGAGCTCTTAAGAATCTGATAGAGTTTTTCCTTAGAAATGTCAGGGATCTCTTGCCTTTATTTCATCGAGGCTTCGCATCCAGCGCAGAATCGATTTCCTCCACCTCTGCGTCATACCCAGGGATTAAAAGCTTCGGATGCTTCGGGGTCGTATATTCTCTGTCCGAGTTTGAGTCTCTAGATGATATGGCTCTCAGTAGATACTTTACGCGGTCCTTCATTGCAGCCTTGTAGCGTGGTCCCCGGGATGACGTAACAACCTTCCCCGGTCCAGGTTCCAAGATGCGTAGTCGCGAGGAGGAAAAAAATAAGAGAGAAAAGCCCTTTTCTTATGTACGTGGAAAACCTCGAAGTGAACAACTCGCTAAAATGGGTTCTTTTCATCAAAGTAAGCGGTCAGATAACAAGTGATACGTTGTGGAAGTAAGGTGAGGTATTTTTATTGAGAATTTGACGTATTTTTAAATTCGTCAAAGCGGTCGCAAATATTCCCATACAAACTCTAATAATTCCGCCATGACTGTTATTGCGCAAGATGATCATTTCACAGCTGGAGCTTGGGCCGCCTGTGTTTGAATCAGCGAGCGTAAGAATTCCGTAACAAAATTAATTTTATTAAAAAAAAATTATTTGGGGCGAGGGGCACTTTAGGGATGACTATGAATAAAACCGTCCTCCCTCATCATGTAATACAAACCAAGCGAAAAGGAAAAAATTACTTACATTGATAACGCCTAATATTTAGCTACAATAGAGAATAACTTGATGACTTCTAAACAGAGAACTGCGCTAAGCGCGACTTTTGGTAAACTGACCTACAAAAGTGATTATGCGTAAAAGAAACTGGCTTTGGATACAAGAGGGGTGGGCAATAACATGCGGTATGATGAGCGTGTAAAAAGGTGTAACTGACGAAGAAAACATTTAACAAAGTTAACAAAAAACACTGACGAGGAAGTTAAAAAAATTAAGGACCAAATAAAGAAATGCAAATTACACGAAAAAATAATTAACAAGCACTTAAATCTTATTTTTGGGACTGTTGCTCTGTTTAAGAATAGTACTAGGTCAAAATGTCAGTGTTTAAAAGAACAGATACTTGTTCTTAAATAATATTTCCGCTATTTAATGAATCCTGTATTGACCAAGCCTGTTCACTCATGATGGCTAGATATTAGCCTCGTTCTTTCTTCCGGTTTTCTATGGAACTCGAATTCGTCTAGGTCCATAGGTCTAAGTCAAGGCCCTTTTTCCCCACTCCCCCCTCCCCCAACTTCACCTACAGCATTTCATTTTCAAACGACCTTCGCTCTTCGTCATCCCTACTTCCGCTACAGTGTTTTGTAATTTGCGACTCAAGCTCCCGTAATAAACCGTGTAAGAGAAATTAGAACCGATCCACCTGAGTTTATTGGGAAATAAACAACCATCATGGTACCTTCATAGGCATCAGCTTATTTATTTTGGCACATTTACATGTATAGATCCGCGACTGTTTGAATCGAAACTGGGAGTTTTCCTTTCGTTCTTTCCCAACAGTACTTTCGGGAAAATCAGGCCAGTTACTACAATATCATATGCTGAATACTTGTTGAGTTCTGGACATCAGTCGTCCTAAATCGGATGTAACAAAACACGAAAAAGAAAACCATAACTCAATGACACACTTCGGTATGATTTGAATATTCTGAGAAATGCAAATTAAGTGGCGGTATACTTTGTGTTTTAGTGGGGGGAAACTCTCTGATTGCTTTGCATCGTAATAGTGTTATTTTCAATAAGGCGGTGGAAGCGGCAGAAAGCGGAAGATTTTGACTGAACATTCCGTTAAAAAGTTAAGCCGTTCCTTTTCCCTTCACTATAGATAAATGTAATTTGATTTATTTTGAAGGTGTAGAAGTATTTTTTGTACGTAATTGTCGCATATTCTATTGTTCTCAAGGACAAACGCAATCTGTTTTTTTTAGTGTGTAATTTGAGACCGGTTTTTGAGATGTACGTCGTAGTTTGAAGCCGTTCAAAGATTTGGAAAGTTCCTTTGAGCCTTCTTTAACTGCTCCGACCAAACGTTCTAAAGCGCTTCCAAACGGTACAAGTGTTTTATGCATTTTAAGTGTTAGTTTTTGAGAACTGTTATGGTCGCAAAACGCCTTTTGTTCCGTGGAGTGTATTGCATTACATAGCGTTACTATAGTAAGGACATTTTCTAAATATGCTCAATCGTGTTGTAAATCTACTTTCCCTAGGTAAGTTAACTTATCGCGAGTATTGTATGTTAAATCTTCTGTATTGATTATTGAATGTAGAATAGTTGAATTAGAGCAGTGAAAAGAGTTCTTTGACAAATAAATAAGGCCTATCCGGCCACACGCCGGGTAGGCCGGATAGCAAAAGGCAGTCGATCGTTTAAAATGTGTTGATAAACCTGTGCGACCCCTACCAGTCAAAGTTAAGCTCTTATTAGTATATATTTTAATGAATTTCCTTTGCGATGGGATAATGGTTGGTTGTCAAAGTGGTCATGCTTAAACGAAGACTGCAAAGCGTGTAGACCGCACAGACGATGTAGACCGCCCTTTGCTTGCTGGAGAATTTTGATTGTTACAGCTCGCTCAGACATAGGGTGAAATAGGGACCGAACCATTTTTTGGACCAGTTTTTGGACCATGTTTTGGACCATTTTTTTTATTACTTTTTTGGACCATTTTTTTGGGACCATTTTATAGGGGGGAAGCGCCCCATTAATACTCAAGGAGGTGTGGGATGCAGTCTACTAATACTGTGGGGGGGGAGGCAGTGTGTTATTACTAAGGGAGGGGTGAGAGACGGACTATTGCTAGGCAGGGAGGGATGGGAGGTGGATGTAATAGAAAACACTACTTTTTAATGGAGCTTTTACTCGATCGTACAAATTATTTCATCGGGTTTTCGACTGACTTTTTGAATGTTCTTCATTTTTGTCATCCTGCGAAAGCGAAACTGCCGCGTAAACACTGGACTTTGATTTCTACTGAAAATATCGCGTTTAAGATCCTCTACTGTTGAGTTATACCTGTGCCTTTTGAGTCGACATGTGTACCATCAGTTGCTTCACGCTTCCCTTCGTGTATACAGTATGTAATTACTAAATTTATCTATCTTCCTTTTGTCATTCATCTTGTTATTTGTGAGATTAATTTAATCGGATCGGTAATTTGCCAAAGGGAAAGAAAAAATTATGTTTCCTCGCTTATAAAAGTTTTATTTTACGCCTCAGTGGACGTTGAACAGAAGTGAAAAACCTTGCTAGGAACTAGTTTCTGACTGAATAATAAGCAGTGAAAAACAACAAACAAGTGCCTTTTTTATTTCTTCTCTCGCCTTCCGCTGCGAAAACAGTGCATTATTCACGCGACATTTATTAAATAACATATGCAGTTTCAAGTTTGTT